GAGCGAAGGAAGACATATACTCAATAAAAAGTCTAAAAAGTTTAATAAAAAACGTTTCAGTCCGAGACCTTCATCAGTTCGTTTTTTATTAAACTTTTTATTGAGTATATGTCTTCCTTCGCTCAAAGTTGTCCGTCCTCGTGTGCCACACTACTTCTCCTACCATTTATCGAGGTTTGGACTGTGGATCCTTTTGGATCCTTCTGGCACGGCGCCACTGTTGGCTCGAGGCCTTTTTACTTGGTATACATATATATATAATGTGTGGTGGGCAGAAAAAAACAACTACCAACTACCCTTTTCTGCCTACCACACATTATATCCGCTCTACTATTTGTATCGAGCACTGTTTCACGGACACCAAGTTTAATCCCTCTATATATATATACATATCTATATATTTAACAATTATTTGCCAAAGGCGAGGTGAATATCACTGAATAATCCCCAAGACGAAGTCGAGGGGATTATTCGACAATATTCACTGAACCTGAGGCTAATAATTGTGTTAGTATAATTTCAGAGCTGAACGACAGAGAAATTTCTAAAATCATAACATTTTAGTAACATTTATAACATTTTATATGAACCGCATGGAGCGGTTTATATAGCATCATATAAGGAACCTCTTGACCAATCAGATTGCTGGAAACTCTTTGCACAGCTCTGAAATTATACTTAGTTTTAGTGTTGCACAGCAACAGCTGTACAAAATTCTAATGAGAACCCTGTCAACACAGATACGGTAACAAACTTATCAGAGTGAACACCACTCACCAACAGTGTCATCCATGGCAGTGACCTGCTAAAGAATTACAAGGAACGTGTTAAGGGACTACAAAACAAACAAACAAACTTAACTTACACCACTGCATAACTGAACATCTTATCTCATGTCAAAAAAAGAACTTGGAACTTACTCTGACAAAATGTATTGGCTTGTTGACATTCTTAGCAATGCCATACCCATAAGGTGGATGGGTTTCTTGCAAGAACAATAATTGTAACAAATTGTAGGCAGAGTTTATTGTTATTTTTTAAATACATCACTTACCTTAGAAGTTTCCTGTATTGGAGCTAGAGTTACTGTGCTCAAAATTTCAGCACTTTGATCCAGTTTGAAAACTAGTTGAAGAATGCAATTCTCATCTTTGTGGACAATTAAACTACTGTCTTGAAAAACTTGACCCTTCAAGTATCTGACAAAAAGCAACCAAGAAACAAAATCAATCAAAAGAAGGTCAGCAAAGATTTTTTATCCTTCAAATGCAAAAAAGAAAAAAGACTAGATTGACAACTAGTTCAAATGATGGGCTTTAAATGTTTTGCAGCATATCTCTGTATGTAACTTGAAAGAAAGTGTGTCATAGGACCACATCATAGATTAATTAGCTGGGAGCTTTCCATAGTTGGTTCTTGAGCAATGCCAAACATACCCCTTAAAAAATGACGTTTCATGATTTAGATCCCCCGAGGGTTAACATTCTTGTACCCCCACAACAAAAGGCAGAGGACAAACTAAATTTTAACAAGTTTTTGAATATCCCACCAATAATGGCTGACCTGTGTTGGCAGCAAGTCTTGTCAAATTCTTTTAACCCAAATTTCCTACATCATGCAGGAACATTTTCTGAAGTATTAACACATAACAGGACCCTTCTTCCAAGAGAAGGTCTGGCAAAAGATTCACCACTTCAGAATTAAACCACTCAAAGAGATTCCCCTTGCTTAAACCTTCCCTCATTTAAAGGGTAACTGACATCAAAATTTTCCCCTTTTTTGGTTGTACCAATACATTCCTCTTGAGTTAGAGGATCCCAAATGAGCAAAAAAACAATATTTTGTGCAAAACCAAATTTTCTGCAAATTTTTTTGTTGCTCAATTGATGGCCATTTCGAAAATGTTCTGATCCAGGTCACGTGGTGTGATACTGGTGCATCACATACCTAAAGGTAACAACTTTGCGCCCCTTGAAAATATACCGACTAAGTGTGTTATAGGATGTAGCAACGTGCGAAATTTGCAAGAGGGTATCACGCTTCATACATTCCTCATACAATACACCTGGTCGGCATATTTCGGACAATATCGACCACAACCTTCCCAAACAAGTGAAAATGTGTGAAAAGCAGACTTTCGTGTTCTCGATTTGACGTCACATTATCCGCTAGAGCCATTCCTCTTTAAACTCGGTCGTGGGGCAAGATGGCGGCCGATTTTCCGTATTTTGACTAGGCACAGAAAATTTAAGATTTAAGCAAATTAAAAAATTTTTGCACAGAAATACTCCAAAAAATAAGCTTATTTCGTTAAGCGAAAAAAAATTTTGGGTTTAGGTGCACTTTAATGCCCAACAGGCACGCAAGTTACTGCCAGGAAAGCAATTCTTATTGAAAATGGTATCCTGTGCAACATTGCCAACCTACCCTTACTATCTCTACTGCCAACTGAACGTGTTGGTGATACCAAAGGAAAAATCAAGCCCGTAATTGTTGAGAGTGCTGGCAAGGAGCCATTTGAGGATGAAGAAGTTGATGACGAGGATTATACTCCTTCTACAGACGCAGAGGAAGACAGGGCTCAACACTAACTTTTCAACTTACTAGCCAAGTGCCCAGTGACAACTTAGATGTTAAAACAATTTCAGTTTGTTTACTAGCCAAACTGGCTGGTGGAAATCGAAAACCACAAGCCAAAACTGAAGTTCTACTAGTCTGTGCCTAGTTGGCTACCGTTAGTGTTGAGCCATGGGAAGATGAGGACAAAACCAATGAAGTAAAACCTCAACAGTGAGTACCAATGTCTATTCATTCCTGACATGTCATGGTCATTCAAAACCGTCAATTCTCAAAACTGTTCAGTTGTTCTCTGTAAAATTTTTTCCTGGCATAACATTGATTTTTTTTTCAAATGAAACTCAGGTCTTCAAAAGATGAAGAAGAAAAAGGTCAAACCACATGAGGAGAGGAAATTCATCATGTTTGAGAAAAACTTGTTGAGCTTGTTCACTTCCTGTCCAATATGTGCTGGTCCTGCAGAAGCCTATGCTTGAAAATTTAGTTAGCTTTTTCCTTAAATAGCATATTATGTTATCACAATGAAGGAAAAAATGCCATTCTTTATCATTTTTAAAGACCTTGCCAATAAGTTTAGAGGAAGGTTTGCATGTTTGGGGTTGAAGTAGACCTTGAGGGAAATTGATCTGGGCTACCAAGTTGTGTTTCAAGCTAGTAAATTTTAGAAATCGCCAGCCCGGTGGCTAGTAATGCAGGTAACTAGGTGTCGAACCCTGAATACCGTATTTATTAGATAGATTAAGCACCCAACCTCGAATAAGCACCCACCTCAAATAAGCGCCACCTTAAATGTGACCTCTCACGCGAAAACGTTCCTAACGATAGCCGTTCGAACAGTGAATGGAACGGCAAGCGAATGGGTGATGAACGGCTTGGAAAGCCGTTTGAAACGGATACTGTGAACGGATGAACGGCTAATTAAAATTTTCGAATGGATGAGGTCGAACGGATGAACGGCTAGTGAAAATTTTCGAACAGACAAGGTCGAACGGATGAACGGCTAATTAAAATTTTCGAACGGATGAGGTCAAACGGATGAACGGCTAATTCAAATTTTCAAACGGATGAGGTCGAATGGATGAACGGCTAAGTAAAGTTATCAAAGGGATGAACAGCTAATTTTTCGAACACTGAGATGAGCCTCACAGATGAGATCGAATGGATAAACGGCTAAGCGGTCGAACAAATGATGGCCTGTAGAAATTATTTGAACACATGGTTTCGTCAAAATGAATGTCAACACAGGTGTCCCAAGCTCTTGTCTTGAGCCAAAGCGAAGGATTATTTCATGAAAGCCTCACGCGTTGGGCGATGCGCTGTTAAGTAATGTGAGGTATTTGACTACGGCTCCCGTGATTTGGCAGG